AATAGTGCATTTGTTAAAATCAGTAAAAAATAATGAAAATGTTTTTTAAAAAATCCTTAGACAACTGCAAAGCCCATTATAAACAGAGAAAAAAGCAAAGCTCTGCAACACAAGAGGAAAAAGGAAATGCTTTGGAGATAGGGTCTAGTATGCAGCCCATACTGAGCCATGACATCAGTGTAATTATTTTCCCCTAAGGTAAATGTCTAATGTTACAAATCCTTCCCTTGCCAGAGGCCTCAGGCCCCACAGATAGCAAAGCACTGGAGTCCTCAACACCCAAGAGGTTTCGCAGAGCTCTGCCCCTGCAGCCCAGACAACTTCTGCTCCTTCCATTCCATGTTTGCTGGGTTTCCACCAGGCAGGGGCAATTCCCTCTTGTGGAGCTCAGAGTAGGTGGTGCAGCTTGAAGGGCAGGGTGTACCCCTGCAGCAGACCTTGGCAGGCTTGTGCTTCTGCTGGAGTCACGTTTCTGTTCTGTGCCGGGGCCAAATTTCCAAAACATGGCAATTAAGCAAACACTTCCCACTGAGAAGAATACCTGACACTGATCTTCAGCCCTCCTGCATCTCGTTCTGAAGAGTTCAGATGGTGTTGCCTGATAAGAGGTTTTACCCTTCACCCATGTTTTTTTACAAATAAAACTCCTTAAGATCAAACACTTGGTAAGGCATATCGGTTATGCTATTTATTATGTAGGAAATAAACTAAATTAAAGGTGATTATATTACTTCAACAACTTACCCAGCATTTCTGCTATGAGAATAGATGAAAAAAAAGAGATAAAGATATTAGAGCTAAAATATTGGGTGTTGAATTTGCATATTTTAAGCACAACCCCTTTTTAAAAAGGTTGTTACTCCATTCCAACATGAGAGTGAGTTTGTCCAGACAAAAAAGTCAAGTATAAATACCATTATATACCCTATATTTATATGTACCCATCACATTAGTACTGTTAAGTATAAATACCATTATTTTATAAGTATTATATAAAGACTGCATTTCAAAATCAATTTTAAAGGAAAACTTGGAATATGCTACCTACATTGTTTACTATTAAGCCACACAGAGTAATGGAAATAAATGGTCACGTCTGGTTTTGCTTACTAGCATTAATTACTACTAAGGATATGTAATTAAGGGTCATACTTACAATATGATCTATTTTAAATTAAATAATTTAAAATACCAGTTAAAGCATTCCTGTGTATTTCTCTGTATTTACTATAGGTAATAGCACATATATTGACATAATTAAATGGCAGCATGTCTTAAAAATAAGTGCAGCATATGTTTCTGAATTACAGAAAAAGTATAATATCTTAATAATATAATAAACCTTCTGTCTGTAATACCAGAGGTGTACCAGAGTACATTTGAAAGCACGCAAATTGGAAGCAGAGCCCAGCTAAGGAGTGGTTACATGAAAATAGCACCATTCTATAAAAATCCAGCATTCACATGTCTCACATCCAGTATTCACAGGCAAGTTACTTCTCTTTGTGTTAGGTCAAAATACAAAGTGGATAATTTTGTGCACTTGTTTAACATTTTTACAAGTGTAAATATATTATAGCAGAAATTGCAACGCAAAAAGAAGTATCAAAAATATCCTTCAGTTGGGAACACATACTGCTGCAATATACTTCTAGAATGTTTTAGACATAATGTAGCTAAACAGCCCTTTAAAAATGAAAAATATAGAAACTCTTTGTTTTAATGTTTACTTGGCTTTGTACTGACTTTATGGAATTCTGATTAAATTATTTCGCGGCTGTGGTCTTAAACTAGACCAAACTGGGGTTTAAAGGTCCGAGGTCCCTGGCCTAAGGAAATCAGTTTTGGTAAAAAGTGTAGTATTGGTGCAGAAGGTGTCACAGCCACGAACAGGAGAGGGGAGCCTTCAAGCTACAGAGCAGCACAGGCAGACATCGAAAGTGGGAGCTGCCAGATTTAGTTACGACACAAATTTCACATTGGCCCCAGTCCACAGTATGTTTAAGTAATTAATACTCATTTCAGCCAACCATCATTCTTTGTCTTCAACAGACATCCCAATGGAATACAAAGATTTGTCTCATTCTTCTTGCCCTTCCTTATACAACTGACAAACATTAATGGTTATTACATCAAATGGTGCAGTGCAGAATCTCATATGAGCTGATTTGTCATCTACAGTTTGTTGGTGCTGGTTCCATCTAAAGGGAAACTTTCAAAGAAAAGGATGTCAATAACCTTTTAAGCTGCCAAGAAAAAGATATAACTATTTGACATGGTATACACAGTAAAGACTGTAAAGCCTGAGTGCTGGTTTCACATCAAAAGTCCATTGATAAAAAATAAAATAGAGGAATATTCTATAGAGAAAGTCTGAGATTTTGTACAGAATTACTTGGTTTGATAGTACTAAAATTACTACTCCAAAGGGATTTTGCTGGGTATCTCTCCATTTACCACGCAGCATATGAGGCAACACTACAGAAAACTATATACTTTCTGGCACATAGAGGGTATTGTAAAAGCTATGGAAGTGTGGCAGGGATTTGGTTGGGAAGAACCAAATCCCTGCCACAGGTTTGCCAGTTAGTGATAAAGTTCAAAATACACATGAAGAATCGGTTTCCAAAACCAGGAAAACTAAATATGGAAAAACTCATCTGGATTTCTAGTTGAACTAGAAAAGTGAGCCAACTAATGTCTTGATGCTGCACTGATTTCAGTATCTTGGAGGGATATTCACAAAGTTTTTATTAACTGCATGAGTAAATAGACTTTTTAGAACAAAATGTGTCTATCTGACTTTGACAAACAGCAGTGTGACTTTTCAAGAAGCAATAGAAACAATCTATAAAGTGATACACTGCTCTCTAACAATCATGCAAGGCAGCAATAAATAAAAGTCAAGGCCTGATCCTACAAATGCAACTTGCCATAGTTACTACCTTGCAGGTCCAGTGTTTAATTCATTTTTCAAATTCTTGATTCATGTGTACTTCATTAAAAGCTCTTAATTTAATTTTCACCTGTTTACGCTTTCAACAACTTCGCTTTCACATTGAGACAGCTGCCATGGCATCCAGCACTAAATAAAATCTTCAGCTCAGTAACAAAAAGATCTTTTCTTACTAATACTTTCAATAACTCACCTTGCATGGCAGACCTAGTGTGACTCACTGACATTCCTGGGCCCTTAAATGAGTTGAACTCATCTCTCAGGAGAAGAAATAGGACTGTCTTTGTCTGGGCACAACAGATAGAATCATTCCTCAGGAATCTTTGAAATATGCCTTCCTGTTCCCAAAGCAACTGATTTGCCTCCCTTTGCTTCAGACTTTATCAGAGCAACTTGGTCAAAGCTCTTAGAAACTCAAACAATAATATCTACAATCAGTTCAGACTCAGCTGCAGAATTATTTTTGGCACATAAAGGAGAAAGAGCTGGATTGGCAGTCCCTTCATCCATGATGACTGCAACTGATTTGGCAGCTCTAACTAGACTTTCAAAACTAACCTCTCTGATAACCCCCTGAAACGAAATTTTTCTAGCAAACAAACTAGCAAAGTTTGTCTGCCTCTAAATTAGCAGGATCCAGATTTCATTGTACAAATCTGTTTGTATGGAAATCTCTTGACCTATTTACATCTCCATTTCTGACTCAGGTTTCTTTTTGGTGGTTGTGATTAAAAAGGAAGTACGGCAATCACGTTGAATTAAAATAAATTAAAGCTGTGCACTTTCCCAATTAGGCCCTTTGTGGGATGACTTTCAACAGGAAGACAGGCCCATCCATCACTCTGAAGTGCAAATACATTTTAAAGCTTCATCCTCTGTTATAATTTCAAATTTCATAATTACTTATCTTGGGTGTGGTTAGAGTTGCAAAACGTGTCTCCTTATGGGTGCAGAGCTAGAGCACTTGAATCTACAACAGAGTCACTGGTTCTAGTTTTGAGGGGCTGGCAAGTCCTGAGTCAAACCCCAAAACTTCTATCACTTTGTGAATAATCACATATATTAATTGAACTTGAATTGTTAACTATGTGCTGTGTTTATTTCCGTGCCTCAGCTTGGCTCCCTGTATTGCTTCAAGAGCAACAAATGAATCTGAGTTTTATTCTTCATTTATACAAATACAGTTTTAGGCATAGTAATAGTACATACATTCTTAGAAGCTTTTTAGAAACCAAAAAGCCTTCTATTTAAGTTGACAGGGTATTTGAATTGTCACAGTACATTACATGGATTGGATGCTTAACATATAACTGTACTAATCTTCATAGCAAACATAATAACAAAAGCAAGTTGTTCTGAGATTTTTCTATTTCTATTTAAAAAAAAAAAACCAAAAAAAACCCCAAAACCCCTTTCCAGTGAGGGACCACATGTAAAACTATGGTTTCTCTGCACACAGACCAAGGCTGCTTATTACCTACAGTACACCAGCTATGATGAACAGACCACCATAGTTGTGACAACTGATGTTGCTGCCTCCAGGGTAAAACAAAGGTTTACATATTACACAAGCAATTTAACTGTTTTCTAAACATATTGCCAAGACAGTGGGAGTTGGCAGCCAGCACTGTGTTTTAGGTTTTGGATACTTGGATTAGAAGTGACTGCTGATTATAGACCTTTTTATTCGTCTTCTACGAATTACAAGCAACCTAGTAACCCAGCAAAGAATCCTTCACAGCACTTAAACTTGTCTTCATGGCTTCCCAAAGATTACATACACAAATCACTCCACAAAAGTGGCGTAACAGACTTGTGCATAGATAACTACATAAGGCAATTGTCTTGTTCTAACTCTTAAAGACTTCCCCAAAGTGAAATGTTTTATAATCCTTTTTGTGCAGTAGTCAGGAAAGAAATAAAAGAGTTTGGGCAAAGATTATCCACAAGAAAGAAACTTTTTTTTTTTTTTTGGGTTCCAGCTGAAACACAATAAAGAACATAATTAACTTCACAATTCTTTGTGTTTTTCATTTGACTGCAGGGAGGAGATGAAAGAGGACTGTTAAGCCTTGCATTCCACCCCAATTACAAGAAAAATGGAAAGCTGTATGTGTCTTATACCACCAACCAAGAACGGTGGGCTATTGGACCTCATGACCACATCCTTAGGGTCGTAGAGTACACAGTATCCAGGTATCAGTAGAAGTCTAAAATTAACAAACTCTGTATTTCTCAGCAACCTCTGCACTTTAGTATTTATGATTTCTAAAATGAAAATGAGTTTACAATGTATAAACTTGGGCACCTGCAGAAAAACTATTGTGGATTTTATTTCAAATAGTAATTTTGGAATGATAGTAAGAGCATAGTTTTTTTCTTTTTAAGACTTTTTTTCAGTTATTCTGTAATTTTTTAATTATGATTACTTCCTACTTATTGTGTATAGGCAGCAAAGTAATTGTTTGTGAATGCTGGAAAATTGAAATTTCTCAGAAATAACTGTTAGGCATTTTTCCACCAAGTTACAACATCCACATCTCGAAGTATAATTTGAATGAGTCAAGTGTATTTTCAGAAAGAACATAAGATAGTGAACTGTGAAAACTGTGTTCATATCTTTAACTTGCAGGAAAAATCCACACCAAGTTGACATGAGGACAGCAAGAGTGTTTTTAGAAGTAGCAGAACTCCATCGAAAACATCTAGGAGGACAGCTGCTGTTTGGCCCAGATGGCTTCCTATACATTTTTCTTGGAGATGGCATGATCACTCTAGATGACATGGAGGAGATGGATGGTTTAAGGTACAAAAACTACCAGTGGATAGACTTCTATTATTGTGCACAAAGACCTCTTTGGCTCAGGAGAATTGCAGGTGCTTCTGTGGTTTTTAAAATATTTCTTAAGTACAAGGGTATACTCAAAACCCAGACCAGAGGGCAATTGTAGTACCTGGTTTTAAATTAATGGAATGGAATTAATTTAAACATTACATCGTTTCATGTTTATGGTAAGAGTGTGCTCCTCTACTTCTCCTTTCCTCCATCCCAATCACAAATGTAAGTTAAAACACATTTTGGTTTCTCCTGTTTCTTGTAACAAGAAAGTTCTGAATCCTTATAAAAAAGTACCAACACCTGCATTGAAACCGTACAATTTTTTCTCACTTGCTTTCTATATAATTAGTCTTCGGATTGTATTGTGACTAGAAATCGTTGAATTCAAGAGTAGGATCCAGAGTGTGAGCAAAAAGCACTTTGTAATTACAAAGAGTTTATATCCAAACTTACTCTAGATGACACACAGTATAAAAGACTTAGTAGCCTTATATTTGAGGCCCTAAACAATTTTGATGTTTAGAAAGTTATTCTTATGATCAAGTTGCTTCCCAACAACATGATCAGAGGCATTTTAGTCTGCACATAACAAGGCAAGATATTTGCCCAAGTGAATCTCTGAAAGGCTTTGCTACACTTCTTTGGACTTGCATCCACCATGAGGGACTTGCATCCATCACTACATGATTAATCAGTAAAGTGGGTTGTTTATTTTGCTGGCTCACTCTAGTATTATATGGATTAAATTTACCAGTGAAACACCTTTAAAAACCCAATTATTTTACCCTCCAACTCTCTCAGTGATTTTACAGGTTCTGTATTGCGCCTCGATGTCAATACTGACCTGTGCAATGTCCCTTACTCCATCCCACGGAGCAACCCACACTTCAACAGCACCAACCAACCTCCTGAGATTTTTGCACATGGACTCCACAATCCAGGCCGGTAAGTAAGTTTCCACTAAACTGAAATTGCTCTGGAGCAGACAGTTTTCAACCCGGCTTGCTTTTATACAGACAGGCAGCAATATTTCAGTAATAAAAGCATTCGTGAACTTTTTGAATCTTCCACTCCTCCACCTCCACACATATGTCACAGTTAGAAACAAATGTACATTGGCAAAGGGGAAAGAGAAGAGCATGCACAACTACTACAAGTCAGGACCAAAATGACAGAAACAAAGTACAGAATTTTTAGCTTTAATCAGTAATAAAATTACTACCTTTGTGAAAGAAAAGAGCTTAAAGCAGAAAGCTGGTAAAGTACAGCTGAAATGGAAATCTTGACTGGGAAAAAAAGGCACGTGGAAAACAAATGAGAACATCTGGTGATATCTAAACAATAGCAAGGAGGAGAACAATGCTTTAACTAAACAACACATAATTCAGCAAATTAGGTGGGTGGTAGTACTGAAGTGACATTTAAAGTCTTGGTTTGAAAAAAAATCAGAAAGTCAAGTTGTTCAGATAAGGACTTGATTCTGGACTTTTTAACAGTCCAAAATTCCTACACCATGTAAGTTCATTTAGCTTAAGGTACTATTCTTTCCAGGTGCTATATTGCAGACTACATTATATCACTAGGGAAAAATAGTTTTATTTCACATTAAATAGAAATGTATAGGAATGGGAAAGTTGTATTATCTCCTGTATATAAATTCAATGCGTTTCTCAGGTATTTTGGCTCAGCATGAAATAGGTTGCTCAAATGAAACAATAGGCACCACAAAGAAACAATAATGCTTTAAAATGTAATGCTTCATATTGATAGTTATATGTCATGAACTCACCTTTCTCATGGATTTTCTCCTTTTTTTTTTGTTGTTGTTTTAAAGGTGTGCTGTGGACCGGCACCCAACAGATGTAAACGTCAATTTAACTATACTTTGTTCAGATTCAAATGGAAAGAACAGATCTTCAGCAAGGATCTTACAAATAATAAAGGGCAAAGACTATGGTAAGTTCTATCCAGGGTAAAGCTGCTGGCAACAGTCAGGTTCTATTATTTCCATGGAATAATAAACAGAAAGCAGAAGAGAATATGTAAAGGCCTGTATAGCCACGATAGGAAACTTACAGCATAGATAGGATAGACAACTTATCTGAGATAGAAGTGAAATTTCTATCTTGTCAAAAGAAATCTTCGATGTAGAAGCAGATAAAAGATGCAGGCCAAAACCAAATGGAAATGACTCAACTTTGTTCTTGTTGGTGTAGAATATCAAGTAAATAAGATTTAACAAATTTGACAGTTGCTAGTCTGTCAAAGATCTCACTGTTGCTGCATATTTTGGCTCATAAAGAGAATATTTTGGAATATCAGGAAATGATGAAAACGCATTCTTAGTTTTCTTAGTATTCTTAGTCTTTCACAAATAACCTTTTGAGACAGAGAATGGAAACCTCATGTAATGTGCCTCTTATAATGGAAAAAGTGAGATAGACAACAGCAGACCACAACCAAACAGGGAAATGACTGAGGTCTGTTTAAATGTTACTAAAAATAAAAAACTTAGAAAAAGGCACTATGCTGCTACTTCATAATAAATTACTAGTTTAGATTGGATTACAAAAAGATAAATACACTCAATTAGGGACTCTAAAATATTAAAGTGCTTCATGCTCTCTCTGAATCAGTATGATTGCCAGTCACAATTTCAGTTTGATGTTTAACTCTGATGCTCACCAAGGTCCCTTGCAAGTTCAGGCAGGCCAGGTGACACTTCCTCTGAGCTATCACCTGCCTTGACTGCCCATTTAGCAGCTTGTAAATTCCTGATGGTAACATGTGATAAATGCCAACGGTGTCTAAAGGCATTGAGAACTGGCCTGTCTTCTGGAATGTAGCATTTCCCTTTCTAATCACATCCCTGGGTTCTCCCACCTGTACTCCCCTTAAAAGCAAAGCAGCTGTGCTGGCTGGCACAACAGTACACAATAGCATAATGCAATTGTACTACTTTAGTTATTGCATGGATTTTCTGTGTCCATTTTATAGAAGCCAAACCAAAGAATAATATTTGGTTAACCACTGCTCCAATGGAATTTTGACTGCATCCTTATTGCAGAGTAAACTAAGCAATATTGTGTCTGTCCCGAGCAGCTTGCCAATATTAATACTAGGCTGTGGGTCAATGGCTTCAATAAAGAGTTCATCACCGTTTTCTCCCCCATAAAATTTCAGCTCTAACTCATGTAGAACAATCTGGGAAATGCATTTATCAAAGCCTTGCAGATAGCCTGCTGACTAAAAAAAAATCCTATTAAAAAATGGTCAACTGGCTGTGGCTTTTTTAAAAATTATGCAGCTAGCATGTCAAATGGAGCCTACTTGTACCCTAAGTGGTATTTGATTGCATGAATAGGAAAATGTACACTGAAACTTCCTTGAAGAATTGTTTGATAGGACTAAACTCAGTGGTTTTGTGAAATAAAAAAGCAGAAAAGAAGTATAGGAATTGCAACTACTACAGCAGCATAAAATAAAGTACCATGAGAAGATACAGCCAGCAATAGTAGTGCTTTATGGGATATAACACACATACCAGGTTTAAAACTGTGAATTGGGAAGTTTCTCAAACCATTGAAAGGATTTCAAAACTAATTCTACTGAAAATCACTGGAATTTCTGCGCTGGACTCTACAGTGAATGGGGTTATTTTGTTCCTGAAGTTCAGGAGATCCAGTCTGCAGACTGATTGACATATAGAAATTAATAGCAGTAATCACTCTGGTTTCAATGGAAGTTCAGCCTAATCTTTATGTAGTTTTATTCTCCCAGCTTGTGCACATGGAAGAAAGCAATTATAGCCTCACCTTTTGAAATCTTTAATGGATTGTTTCCCAAACAGACTTTGTTGTAATTTTCTGATTTTTTTTAACATCTCATTTCTGAGATGTTAACATTATAATGTCAATGCATCTTGAATTCTGAGGAATCTTTAAATGGAATTAATCTTTTTAACTGAAGCAGTAACGTTTTCCTAGATGTGCATCAATATGAAAATGCATATGATCTAATGCTACGGTAGTTCCTTTTCAGAGAGTGAGCCCTCCCTTCTAGAATTCAAACCCTTCAGCAGTGGCTCCCTGGTTGGTGGATTTGTGTATCGGGGCTGCCAGTCGGAGAGGCTCTATGGAAGCTACGTGTTTGGAGACCGCAATGGGTACGTGTGGTACAGCTCACTCTGAACAGAAATGCATGGCAAGTGGATTTAGTCACTCAGCTGCCTGTGTCAGTCTTGTATATTGGGTCACTTGGCCAGTTTAGCAGTGGGGTAATGCAGATTAGATTCTAGATTTGGGAATAAAATAGCACAGCACTCTAATGCATGGTGACATACAGAACGTACCTAATCCTTGGAAAAAGGTACAGGAAGTCGTAAGACAAGGAACTGCACAGATGTATCTATGAAGCTACTTGCAACAAGTGTTTACTTATTTATCTGGACAATGAAAACCCTCTGTTCAAAATATAATATAACTTTTTTTTTTTTTTGTATTTGTGAATGTAGAAATTTTTTAACGCTGCAACAGAGTCCTGCAACCAAACAGTGGCAAGAGAAACCCCTCTGTCTTGGCAACACTGGCTCATGTAGAGGTTTCTTTTCAGGCCCTGTCTTGGGATTTGGAGAAGATGAATTAGGTAAATACTAAAAGAATTTTTCTTAAATTACAAGGGTTATCAGTAATTTCTGCAGCAGTATTCATAATTATAGTAAATGTTTAAAAGGAAGGCTATCTGTCCTTTGCCAAAGCTTCTCTCACTGCTCTCAGCTATACCTCAGCAGCCTTGTAGGGAGAACTGAGAAGAGGATGTGTTGCTGGAAGGGGCAAAAATCCTTATTGTGTCTCACATGCTGTGAACCTGGCACTCACTATGACACAATGTATAAAATACTTGCTTTTATTTCCAGCATTACGGAATTAAAGGGCAAAGATATTGCATGAGCAGACTGACCCCTCTTTGCCCTTCCTCACCAATTTAATTTTTTTAATCAATTCTCTACTTTGTGAAAAAAAAAATCTCTCATTATAGAATGTTTTTCACATTTTAACATCCATTTGGGGAAAGTGCTTATATAAATTTTCAAATAGCAAATGATTCCTTTGTATATTTCACTGTTTCTTCTGAAGTTTTTAAAATCTCATTTGGCAAATACAACCAGCTCACAAAAGTCATGTATTTAACATCTTAGGAAAGGAGAAGTAATTTATTTCACTGTTTTCCCTAACAGGTGAGATTTACATATTATCAAGCAGTAAAAGTATGACACAGCCTCATAGTGGAAAACTCTACAAGATTGTTGACCCAAAAAGGTGAGTATTGCACTTCTTTTTGGGATCAGCCCAAATAGATTAAAAACCAGAAGGTAACTGCAGTTCTGTTCATGTGGCTGAATTATGCAATACTGTTGTTCAATAAAAAGGAAAATTCCCAATGCAGGGGGCTCCCTAAAAGCAAATGTTCCAGCAGCAGCAAGCAGAATCAATTCACTGTCTCATAGGAGGCGAATGTCAGAGCAGCAGAGGGGTAACCAGCACTCACTTCTGGGAATTTTTACACTTTGACATTGTGCTGAAAGCTGCCCACTTTCCCACCTAGATGTATATTCTTAGCATGTTTTCATAGAGAAGTTGACCTACTTAATTTGGAACCATATGGACTGGTAGAAGATGCTCCTGGTAGTTCTGAAGCCGAGTGATTTGTAAGTACCACAGAAAGTTATGCAGCATCAGTGGAAGGCAGATTCTGGAATTCTCCCCAGTACTGCTGCTTCCTCACCTGCCACTGTGGTGGGACAGGGCACAACAGAAGCTGCCTCCAAAAATCAGCACTGTGTAACAAAATGGGTTCTGCGTACTAAACAGCAAGCACAGAAAATAACCAGTGAGTCCTAGCCAGGGTCAGTTTGGCCATAAGTAAGCTCTAAGGGACTCGTTCAGTCTTTCCCAAATATCTCTTCAGTCTTTCCCAAATATCTCTTCTCCTGTTGTACAGGAGATAGCACCAATGGACAATAACAGTGAGGGCTCAGTTCTCAGTAGGTGTAGTTGTCACAGCTTACTGATACTGAACATACCCCTTCCATACCCCTTCTATTATATATCTCTCCCTTGGCAGGCTTGGAGCACCAGGAAGGGAAATCCTCTGTCCTTGGACTCTGTGCCAGAAATACAGGGAATTCTTTAACCATTCTTAAAGAACTTCTTCCAAAGGGCTTATAAATCCCACTCAAGTGATTTATAAGACATAGAATTTAATAGGATTGTTCTAATTATTTAGACTAATTTACCAGTTGTAAAATGAGGATAAATGAAAATTATCAAGCCAAAGCTCCTCAAGGCATGATCTTTGCAGAGCAGCTGGATGCATGAAAAGATTAAGGAATCTGGAAGGACTGCAAAAAGCCAGTTCCCAACATGACCCAGGGGCCCCAGCAGCAATAAGAGCTGATGACTAGCAGATAGATACTCACTTTAGCTGGGGAAATACCATGTTCTTCATGATGGATCTTGCTGCTCTATCAGACCAAGTTCTGACATGTAAAAGTTGCACATCCATCCTGCAAAAGTATCAGAAATCAACACAAAAGGAGTCAGCCATCAGAAGTGAAGTTTTCTGTATAATACTTTGACCCCATAGTACCCTACAAAAGCAGCTGCCTATTTGTTCAGCATCTACTTCAGCATGTTCCTCCATGGGTATCAGATACAGTCAGACTTCCATTTTTGGCTTTCCTATTAAGGGAGGAATTTATTTTCTTGTCAGACTTAAATTCTAAACATTGTTAGTGGGATAACAAGGGAATACAACAAGAAAATCATGACACTGGTTGCACACTGTACTGTAAGTTAGAGTTTCAGGGGTAGTGGACTTTCCATGTTCTATAATTGTACTATCCCAAAACTACAACAAATAATTTGAAAGCAGATGTTACTGCAGGTTGGTGCAGTCTGTCAGTCAAGGTTATTATGTATGTTTTATTTATGCTTTCTGGTATTGAAAACATTTTTTTAGAACAAAACTTGCCATTCTTCCTGGGATTGTTTAGTCTGTTGGTGTATGGTTTTAAGTGAATTTTACACCCTAAATCCACTATTAGTATCTAATTACATGGGGCTGCCTTTTTTGACCTCAGCTTTTTGTTCTTGTTACCTCTTCCAGTAGGGTGGTCTTCAGCTGACATACCTGAAAGGCCAGACCTCCCATTGCTGCACTCATGGTTGGCTGTTTTCATGCATGGAAAAGGGTCAAGACTGTGTTTGGTTACTGGTGAAAGTAACCAGAAAACTATAAAATACTTTTGTAAATTGGCACACAGTTGAAATTAAACAGACTGTGGCATGGGGATATCGTTTTTGGTAACTCTTCTCAGAAGCATGGGATAATTTTCATTCAGGCAAAGTTTTGAGTTTTGCTGTCTTTCAGTCTCACACCACTGCAGCTTTTAAGGGCATGATAATGAGTGACTTCCACAATGGAGCATTGCAGATGTATTTCCCATTCCATGCTGAGTTCATACCACCCATGTAAACAACTTAAAAACTCCATGGCTTTGGCAAATGTTCATGTAAAGTTTTAGTAACAAATTAATGTTATTTACAAGATAATATTCTTTTCCATGTTAATATTTTGTTGCTTCTCCTCGTGGTGTGCACCACACCAATACAACAAATATTCACATAAACCCTACCACAATAAGCTTTGTAGAACACAAAGTAAGGATGCTACAGGTGGACTATAGGTAGGTGGTAATAATAAAATAATGAACCTATTGATTTGTCATGTCTTAGAAATTCATTACTTACTAAAAAACCCCTGTGAGAGGTGGTCCCTGGCAGACCTGTTAATTTACAAAGAGAATCTTCCATGCCTGGGGCAGTGTAGAAGAACAAAATTATCATGCCCTGGAGTAGCCCCTTGCTGGAAATTAACAGTTCCATCGAAACCCAACCTTCTTCTCCTTGTGGTCATTTGTAAGCTGCTGCAAGCTTACAAAATTATTATTTTATTTTAAAAAATAAACATTACATGAAGGTGCAGGGCTTTATTTCTTTTGATCTTTCTAGAATCATAGAAACATTAAGGTTGGAAAAGACCTCCAAGATCAGCAAGTCCAACCTTTGACAGATCACCACCTTGTCAACTAAACCAGAGCACTGAGTGCCATGTCCAGGTGTTTCTTGGACACCTCCAGGGATGGTGATTCCACCACTTCTCTGGGCAGTCCATTCCAATACTTAAAAACCCTTTCAGTGAAAAAATACTTCCTGATGTCCAACCTGAACTTCCCCTGGCACAGCTTGAGGCCATATCCTTTTGTCTTGTGGAAAACTACTGCATAATCAAACAAAACCATGACTCCTATTTTTCTTGTCTCAAATGTAGCTTAAGACAGAACTCTATTACTTGGACATAGAAAAAAATCAAATTAGGTTGCAGGTTAAACATTAGGAGATCAGAAGATGAGACTAATGCAAAACTCTTTGCATTAGTCTTCAACACTCAGCAATGGGAAAATCCCATCCTACAACAATCCTTCAAGTGTAATAGAAATGAGGTGTTTAACTGAGGTGATATATGACAAATTGATGAACATGATCAACACAGAGGTTCTGAATCCCACAATTGCCAAAGCAGTTTGAAATACAGAATTCCAGGTACCACAGTAAAAGTTCTGTTCAGTTCTTCCAAATACTTCATATCAATAACTAAATAGACCCCCATTGAAAGCACTGAGTGAAATAATCCTTCTCTTTGTAAAAAGGTTGTTATAATGATACATTAGTGCCTGAGAGCTCACAGACAATGAAGTGATTAAAAAAAAGCCCTAAGCATGTGAAGTGCTGCAAAATGTAGGTATACTACATATTACCAAAAATCCCAGAGAGAAATGAGTATAGCCAATAGGATATTTAGCTCTGAGGATGGAGGAGATGTGGGAAACATTAAAAATTACAGGCACATAAAACCAACATTGGGCACATTAGTTAAACTGGCAGTTGAAAGACATTTTTAGTTAAAACTGTCTCTGAAAAATATTTCCACTGTTTGAGGATTATCAAAAAAACCCATTAATACTACTTTCCAGGGATTGGTACTAGTGAGGAAATACAGGGAGAAAGACTTATGTTCTTCTCAACTAAAAGGTAGGGTTAGTCAGATATCCTGATGGTCAATGCAAATACTAGCATTTTATAAATTGTTTTTGTGACCAAACACCAAAATATCTTTATTTTCTAGTTTCCTACTTTCTGTTTTATAACTTTTCTATCATGTTTTCTGTTTCTAAAAATACATACTAATATCAATCACAAAAGTGTTGATGAACTGAAAAGAAAAATCAGCTAAGTAAACAGTGAGGTAGAAAATGTATAGAGGTCAAAAGATCCCAGTTAGTCAATAACAGAGAAAATAGGAGACAAACCCATTAGAAAAGAAAAAGCAATCATTTTTCTAGCATGATGAGAGGAGAAAATCAACTGTGAAAATGAATATTTAAATAAGTAAGATTTGTTGATAGGTCCGTACACTCTGTAATTTAAACATTATTACTAGACCAAGAAGTAAGAAAATAAACTTTGTATGGTGGAAGAACAGCCATAAAGAGGCTTTGTAAGTTTTCTTTCAGAATATTTATAATATGATCTCTTTAATTTCTAAGGAAATTACAGATAAAAGGAAAGATATCCAGAGAAGAGTCTAGAAGTGACAGACAATGCAAAAGTTTTCCTTTTAAAATATGTGCTGTGAAGTTTTAAGTGTGAAGCTTTAAGAGTTTGCCACCATCCATAGAGTGATTCCAAAGGGGATGAGTGGCTGTTTTGACCAGGACGGCTCACTGAAACCAGCAGGTGATTTTTATGAAGGAGGGCAGAGCCTGAGCACGTGTTCCTGCACACAGAAGAAGATTTCCTCTTCCTCTCCTCGTAACACCTTATAGATCTGGACTTCAATGTGTTTCAGATCAGCAGCGGAATTGCTGCTTCCCGTTGGATTGAAACTTGAACTTGATTCAAACCATCTCACTCCTCTTTCATGCCCCTCCAGAGTATATAATTCCACTTATCATCCTTTCCATCATCACCTTCCGGGGTTTCCGCTGTCGGAGAGCATTTCCAAACAGGCTGATTTCAGACACCAAGGGACAATATCTAGGCCATGCCTCATTTTGACGCTGTTCAGGCTCTTTAGAAAACCATTAGTGATTTGATTTTTTAACGTGAGTCAGGAGTGTTTGGTAGTATGACAGAAGAAAAGCATTTATGAAAGTGAAGTTCTGTTTGAGCCTTCAATTCCTGTGGAAATGGAAACA